TTTTCTGGGATGATTATCTCAAGACCTCAGGTCACAATAACAGATGAAAAAGCAAATAGACTTATATAAATGCCTGGAGACCTGGAAATGAAACAGATAAAGAAAAGACTGAGAAGGAAACAAAGAGGGGAGGGAGAAGGGAAAGGAGGGAAGGAATCAGGGAGGGAGCGGGGAGAGAGAGAGAGAGAGTGCAAAAAGAAAGTCACAGGAAAAAAGAAGCAGAAGGGGGCTTCTTCCTACATTTTACATCCATTTAATTGAAAATAGCAAACCACAAGAAAGAAATAAAAATGAAATCCCAAATGATATGTATATTGGTACAGAACTAGTCCTTATCCATAAGATTATGGTCCAAGATCCATCAGATATAACTGAAACCACAAAGAATAACAAACTCTATACATGATGTTCTTCTCTAGAAACATACAGCACCTAACGTCAAGTTCAGTTTACAGAGAAGGCACAGTAAAAGATTCACAATAATAAAGAATAATGAAATAATAACTATGTGTTGTAACACTGAATTCCTCCTCTTCTTCTCTCTCTTCCTTTCTTCTCTCTCTCTCTTTCTCTCTCTCTCTCTCTCTCTCTCTCTCTCTCTCTCTCTCTCTCTCTCTCTCTCTCTCTCTCTCTCTCTCTCTCTCTCTCTCTCTCTCTCTCTCTCTCTCTCTCTCTCTCTCTCTCTCTCTCTCTCTCTCTCTCTCTCTCTCTCTCTCTCTCTCTCTCTCTCTCTCTCTCTCATCTTTTTGTGTCTTTAATTTTACTATACTTACCCTTCTTTCAGGCCAAAGCTAACAGTGGGAGCAAAAAATGAAACTGTTGATATGGGAAGTGAGGAGTACTGCACATACACATCTCCTACACAAAAACGTTACTGGTATGCACTCTAGGCTTGTTAAATCCAAACCCTGTTATATCCCAAGAGTGGATAAGAGTTTGAGAGGAGAAATGAAGGGAGCCTTCAGTATGTCCCATAAGTATATCTAATAAATCATTGGATTCTTATTTAATTAGACTGAATTCATATATTATTTTTTTAATTTAGTGGTCAATTAAAAAATAATTTCTACTATCTTTTCATCAGCTAGAGAATTAATAAAACTTTGCTCAAAATATAAGCTTTCAACTCTATAAATGGAATTACTTAGAATACCAAGATCTAAGTATTCCTGAGTCACCAAAAGTAGAAATTCTTACAGGCCCTTCATTTATGTTTTTATGCTATTTCAAGATCTAAAATTCACCATGTCATTTCCTGAGGCTGCAAAGGGAAAATGAGGTGATTGTTCAGGAAGGATGCACTTTAAGCAACAATTTCTGGGCAAAATAAAATATTCTATCTCTTTCCCCCCATCAAAAAAAGTGTTTGGAGCACCCCAGTGACCAAGACCCCAGCACTTGCCAGGTGAACAAGATGAATCTTTATGTTCTCTGGGTTGATTATGCCAGTGTTGAGCTGGCTGTCACCCCCACATCTACATAATTAATTGTTTGGACTGGGTCTGACATATTGTTTCACTATTATGATGTAGTATGCTTAGGCCAAATAAAAGAATGTTATATCCTCATAACAAACAGAATAATGAAAACATTTTACCATCTTTTTCTTGTACAACTGACATACACTAAATGCATATATTTAATGTTCACTATGTGATGAGTTTGTACCTACACTCACATCTGTGAGATCATTGCACCATCAAGGTAACAGACATACCAACATTTCCCAGTTTCCTTGTATCCTTTTGTTTATTCTTGTTTTGTAAATTCTTGGTGAGATCAAAGACTTTCTTTGTTCTCTTTCCTTTTCATTTCTGGAATTTTTAGTATGAATGCCACATGAAATAGAGTCTTTCAACAGATATTTAAGTGTATAATGCTATATAGTTAATTGTAGTTACTGTAGGGTATAGAAAATATCCAAAACTTATTCATCTATTAAAATTAATCATTTATAGTTATTGACTACATTCCTAATTCCATCCTACACCAGCAATTGGAAACTGCTATTGTATGAATTTGACTATTTTACATTATGAGCAGAAGTGGAATCATGAACTGCTTTCCCCTTCTACGAATATTTTATTTCACTTAGTTTAATACCTGTCAGATCATTCATGTTTTGATAAATGGCAGCATGTCATTCTTTCTAAGGTGTAATAATATTCATTTTAGTATTTACTACATTTTTTTATCAATCCATCTGTCCATAGACACTCAGATAGTTTCTATATCTTGGCTATAATAACTATGAACTTGGGAGTGGAGGCATCTCTTTGAAATACTGATTCTATATAT